AGGAACTGCTGGAGGAAATAACCATTAGCTCACAGCTTCAGAAAGGGGAACTTGCACAGTTTGACAGGACAGTCTTGCCCTTTTGCTGAATACAGCCAAGTGTGCATAGGTGTCACTGAGTAGTGACTATCTCATCCCGTACCATGCAATGGAGAGTTTCTCATCCATTCGAGGAGCTGTCCACATACTCAGGAACTTCATAAACCTGCTAACTTCCCATGGAGATATGGTGCCCGAGGCAGATTACAAGTACTACAAGTTATCAGCATATAACTCTCACTAGGGAGGGCAAAGAACATATCCTGGAAGAGCAGAAGCAGCCTCAAAAAACTCTTTTCCTTTCTCCATCTCTCTCCTTTCTGTGCCCCTTCTCTTCTTTTGTCCACATTCCTGTGCAAAGATAAACTGAAAAATGCATTCTGGCAGCTGTATCTGCTCACCAAATAGTCATCAGTAGCATTATTTAATGGGAAAGTAATTTTCTAGCCAGACCCCTCTCCCCCCACTTCCAAAATGGTTTTCCAGTATGTACTGCACTGCACTGGGTGCTGCATTGGTGAAACACCCACCATTACATGCAGCCATAGCAATTTATTACTGGCTCAGAAAGGAGGATCACCTTTTAACTGGCTGTTCAGAGAAAAGAAGTCATGCTAGTATTCTCACAAAGACTGTCTCCAGCTTCTATCATAATCATCCTGTTTCTTCTACCATCTTCTTTCCCAGGGATGTCATCTCCTTCCATTTAATGGTTCTATTCCAAGATTTCTGAGACTCAGGAGAAGAAACTGAGGTAACATAGGATGTGAAAAATCACATACTTTACACTGACTAAGCCTGTGATACCAAAAAGCATTCAAGGGAATGCCCACTTCTCTTGCCTTTTCCAACAGCAGATGGTTGTTTTGAAAAGGGCTCTGGGAGCTCATCATTGCAGGGGGACAACCCCTACCCCAAGTCACCCAATGTTACCAAAATCTTAGTAATAACTTTTCCATTAACACACAAAAATTAATAGTCTAAATATATTTAGCTTAGTACTTTCTTAACTAGAGCCCACTTGGCTTTCTATTCAGTTCTTGTTTGTCTTTACTTCTTTTCCATGAGTTTTAGAGGATTCTAAGTCTTTTTGCATTACTTTAAATCTCATTCCTTCCTCATTTACCACGTTTCCATGAACTTTCATTTTGCTGAAACAAACGAAGACCTTTGTGGAATATGCCCCAAATTTCTCAGAGGGAATGCTGCCACAAGGGAAAGATGCATTCTTTTCAAAGTCAAAACTCAAGTCAGTTTGGACAGAAAGTCAATGTGGTGACCTCAAAGTTTTGTCAGACACAACATTAGACAAACTTGCATCAAACTAATGTGCACCACTGAGAGTTTAAACAGTCTGAAGTTGAATTTAATGTAAAATCTGATGGTTTCCAGGAGGGATAAGTGTGAGGCTGGGAGTGCAGATCCAATTCAGATGCTTATATGCATGATATGCATGAAAATCAATGGGTAGGCTGAGATGTTTTGACTAGACAGGCATCTGATCAGTCTCGTTAGTGAAAATTTAATTTAACCTTGTCCTAAAGTATGGATGCAAATCAAAATAAATAGCCACCCCTTTGGAAAGAAATACTGAAGCAGTGAAACTTTCAAGAGCCTCTTTGAAGCTCTGGATTTTGATTGTTTGAACTTTTATATGACTTAATAGAGACAATCGTTATAAAAAACAGAATTCTTAATACTATGTTATTTCTTCTACTTCAGCATAACAGATCACATAACTGTTCTTGGGTTTCCAAATATAAGCAAGTGGCTACTTATAGGATTAAATGGATGTAAGGGATATGTATATTCACATCCACTTAGTCTCTGTTTCCAGTGACCCACAACAGTGTGTTAATAACAAACATTTTTCATTCAGTCCTACAAAATTTCTGCAACTATGCATTACTATGCTAAACACAGCACTTAAGTTTTGATGCATTATTGTTGCTTTAAAATTAGAATTATTATTTTTATTTTCACTTCTAGCTCCTTAAAAACCTCAACATAAATACTTTTGGCATCCCTCCTGCACACCCACTCTTGCTGATTTTTGGATCACTTAAAAATATTTAAATGTTTTTAAAGTCATCCATCCATCTTCCTCTAATAACTACACTCAGGTGCGTAGAAGTCATATTAGGTAGGGTTTTTTTTATCTGACCTTGCAATACCATCAATTTCTAACCATACTAACACAAGAGGAACTAGAGAAGTAATTTTACTCCTGTGTGTGTGACTAGTAACACAGAGTTTTAAGGATAGAAAAGAGCTGCAAAAATCATCCAGGAATGTTTAAAAATAATGAGAACCCTAAAAAGCACAATCTGTTTAGCTTTTTCTAAAAACAAACAAACAACAACAAAAATAATATTGAGAAGTAACTTGATCACAGGGTAAAAGCACCTTCCTGGGGAGAAAATAGTGAGTCCTAAAGAGCTCTTTAATCCATCAGAGTAGGCATAACAAGAATCAATGACTAGAAGCTGAAGGCAAACAAATGCAAATGAAATAACGTAGAAAATTTTTAGCAGCAGGCATGATTAGTACTCGTATTTTCCTAGTACCTGGAAGCCAAATCATGGATCAGGGCTCAGTTAGGTGCTGATAAAAAAACTCAACCCCAAACCAAAAGAAGATACCCCAAACACAGAAAAAAAAACCCGTGATCCCTGCCAAAATGTTACAAAGCAGGTAAGATGAAGTAACATAATAAATCAGTGATAATATTATCTGATATGACAGGCAGCAGTTTCAGGCCATGGTTTCATGATACAAAGTGTTGAGTTGAGATACAGACTTAAGGTGATTCTACGTATCAAGACTGTTTTGTCCCATTCCCACAATTTCTCTACAGCTATGAAATGTTGAAAACTGATCCTTATTAAAAAAAATATCAGTACTAAAATCAGGGTTTTCATTTTTATTTTGCAGCAAAATGCCAGAGAATACTTTTGCAAGTATTTTGATTTTTATGAATTTCAGTGAATGGGTTGAACAAATTTTCCCTAACAGTATTCCCACCAGCTCTTTTTACAGGAACTTGCTACATTACTTGCAAGAAAAGACTGTATATCCCAGAGAAAAACATGCAAAAGCAAAGTATGAAGTTGTTTTGTTTTCCTCATAGCAAATCACTAGGCTTGGTGACCAAATCTCAAGCACTATCCATAGATAAAGCAGACATTAACAAAAACTGAATCTCAGACCATGATCTGGTAAGGTTTCTCTGAAAAAAACTTATTATGCTACCAAATACTAACATAAAAGATAACAAGATGAGCTCGTGCTCTCAACACAATTGCTCTGGCACTGGAGTCTACACAACATCCTTGGTAGCTTACAAACAATAGGACATTACAATTTGACTGAGAAGAAGATTAAAGAGGTAAACCAAGAGCAAAATTTTCTATTATTAAAGATTTTGCCATCTATTTTTGAGATCAAGGATCAGAAGCATAGCCCCTGAAATTCATTGTGGAGAGAACTCTGAGCATGTCCTCTTATTTTTCAACAAGAAAACGTAGGAGAAAAGCCCATCTTTGACTTCTTTTTCTTCATTTAAATGATTAGCAGACTACAGCAACACCCCCAATGTCTATTGCACTGAGAAGCTCTGGAGGAGCTAAATTTTGGGCTGGGAATGCTGAAGAGAAAACAAAAGCTAAAGAGCTAGGGTCAACATTCCACAAATAGTCCCTGAGACTTGGAAGCAAGTTGGATATAGCCATGGTGTTAAGCACCCATCCTTCTTCCTTCCCTTCCTCCCTGGAGGTGGCCAGCCTCCTCCCATCGGCTGACATTGTGTTTCACTGAGCTGGATATTCATGTTCACAGGCTCGACAGGGAATTGGTTACAACCAGTTCTAAAAGCTTTCATTTTCCTCTTGTTTCTTGTTAAAAATACTTTGAGCTATGGCTATAATAAGTGACATTAAAAGAACACTGCTTCATTGCAAAGTTTAAGGACACTTAACAGCCTTACTCTTTGGCCTTGTGCACTGTGCTGAATTTTTCCACGGGACTGCAGCCCCTCTGTGTGTGAAGGACACAGCTCAGGAAGTGAATCAGGGCTGTGCATCAAATTAGATTATTTATTGGTTGGTATATGTGTTGTCTTTAGGAGTTCTGCTGAGAACAAGACAGACAACTACAGGAAGAGAGCGATGGGCATGTGGTTAAGGCAGTTGAATGCCACACAGAGCACTCAGTTCTGCCTCTGCCTTCACCAGCAGCCCCAGGAGCGAGTCAGATCTCGCGCCCTGGCAGATGGCCAACCAACCTTGTCTTCCTCATTTTCTAGGGGTCCAAACAGAAACACCTTGGGCCTTTTACGTAGAAATGCAAAGCAGATGATGGCAATGGAAGGTTTTGGTCTTGAGGGAAAAATGGAGCCAGAGGCACAAGGTTAAAAGGCAGGAGAATCCGTTTAATATCATTGCCTTTACTACTGACTAAACAAGTGGCTCAGTTTTCTCCTTGGTCTAACAGGACAATGGTGCTTTTCTGTTCAGGGAATATGCAAAAATTCATCAAATTCTGTGAAGCTCCTTAATATCATTGTAATTAGCCTACAAAAGCCAAAAAAGTTTTTCTGATTCTCTGTATGGATAGGATGTTTTGGATCTTTTGGATCTCTTAATTATCATACACTGCTACATACTTGCTTTAAAAATATATACAACATAAATACTAACATGTATAGAGATAGAACACATCTGTTTTTCCTCACACTCTATTTGTGATCACACTCTATATGTGATTTTTCAAAGTCCTGTCTACAGCTTCTACCAATGCTATAACTTTACTATTCAGTGAAACTGCAATATGGAATAGGACAGTGAACAGCACTTATTGTCAACAAAAGGTATACACTGGCTCGAAAAGTAAAAATATTTTCACTCTTGGTCATATGTTGTGTAACCACAGCCACAGGAATAGAAAAGCAACAGGAGAGCTAGTAAAAGGGTCATTTCCTACTTATTTTATTACATCAGAGTATCATCGTATTGTAAGCTTTTAGTAATACTAGGCTACCAAGTTTGCAAAATAAAATATTATACTTTGAGTCCAGCAAGAAAGAAACAAATCTACTTGCATCTTTAAAAATAACCTGAACAGTTTCAACAGTTACTCTGACTTAAAAATCTGAATTAAGAGAAATACCACAATTGAAAACACAGGTGATGATCTTCTCCATTTTAGGTAGAAAGGCACTAAATAGAAAAATGTAACACAATAATCAGAGCAATCAGGAGGTTTAGGCACACAACAGAACAGCAATATTTTAACAATGTCTGACAACATCCCAAGCACACAGTGTCCAAACACTACTAAAGTGGATGTGCATAAGACTCAAAGACAACACCATTTCAAAGGATAATTTGCATAATTTAAGAAGCAAACAGACAGGAAAACAAAATAGAAATTAAGGTTCAGGCCTACAATCAGATCTTCAGAGTGAGAACCTGCAGTCACCAGAGTCCCATGGACTTCATCAGGCCCCCAGGCTCTTGAGGTCCACTTGAACAAATCCAGTTACAGGACTAGGACCTAAATATGTAAAGAGAAAAAGAATGAAATCAGGTAACACAGCACACAGCTCTAATTAAAGAGACACCAAACTAATCACAGAAAAATAATCGGAGTGCCTAGACCATGACAAGATCTCTATTTTTACCCTAAAATGCTGCAGCTACAGCAAAAGCAACAGTAATTTCTTATGCCAAGAGATTTATAGAGCATTAATTGATCACAGCACATTCCCCTTCAGGCAAACACAAGTACCTGCAGTGTTTGCTCACCTCCTGTGTGCTGCTGCTTTTTTGTTGTTATATGTAATTTGTTTTATTATTTTTAATAAAAGAGAGTGGTCTAAAATCAATAAAGGTGATTTATCTTCATCAGCTCTTCATGGAGATTTTCAGCCTCTTAGTAACACAATGGCCAAAACTAAAATAAGATATCTGCCTGTATTTTAAAACACTGTAAAACTGACAGAAAGTAAATGATATTTCTATAAGAACTGTCATTGCTATGACTATCTGAAGGTTGTGAGAAGTTCTAGCTTGGCAGTGTGTCTCCCCAGGGTTTTAGTAAAACCCCATGGTAGCATGCACCTAGTATCATTCAACTGCTAATGAGAAGAGAGACTAGCCTACCTCATAATGAGGTTTGCCCACTGAAATACAGACTTTAACACAACAAGAGAGTGTGACAGAAGCAGTGAAGACACTACAGGAATATCAAATTTATAGTATCACAAGCACATGGAATCCCCACAGGCTACACCATGGGGAGCTGTGTCATCCAGACTTCCACACCAGCACTTATCATCCACCCCAGGAAGGGGTCCATGATTCCTCTCTGCCTGAGGCTATCTCTCAGCCTGGGAGGCCACACTGGCCAATTCACCATGCCTGTAAATGTCATCACTGCACCTTGTACCTTCACTAGTGTGACCTCTTTGAGACAGACAGACCAAAGACAGAATGAATTGTCCAGGAGTATGATACCATTCTTCCTATTACTAGAGCAGAATTACACCTTCAGAGATCAGCATGTAACCAGACAAATCAATTTAAATACACCTTCTACCCAAAAAATGTTCAAGACAATCAACAATCTCTGATTACTTTTCTATCTCCTACAGGATGGCTTAAGATGCAGCAAGATCCTTTACATAAAAATAATTAGTAAGTTTAAAAATTTACTCAAGATACACGAGGACATGAACATCTTAAATTTACTGAGACATTGATTTGCCTATAGCACTCATAGAGAGATAAGGACTCAAACTGCTATTATTTCTAGATAGGAAAAAAATAGTAGTATATACAAAGTTTTCCATGCACATGGACATTAAGAAGCCTTTTTGCCAAGATGACACACTAACTTAGACCACTTATATATATGTAAACTCAGATATGCAAGGCAGATGAAATTTCCAAAATTTGTGAAGAAATGACATGTGTTTATCTTTTCAGAATTGGTGTTAGCTCAGGACAGATAACAAAATGTTTACTCCCATTTTAATATTGAATTCCCAGCTATATTCCACATGTATGTCTGAAACTGGCACATAGTAAAGAATCTACAACACTGGACTTCAAATGAAGCGTCAGATTTTGGTTATTTTATCTCCAGAGAGTTCCAGCCTCAAACCTGGGGTCACTCTGTAGGGACACAGGGACTTGGGGGGAAGATGCAGCCAGCAGGGCTCAGCCTGGTGCAGGCAGAGGTTCCAGCACCCAGTATGCCCATGGGGTATGTTTGCTCAATGAATTTATGATTTCACAAATGTTCATCAAGCAGAGAGTAATCTACTGCCTTATCTGGCTATCACTGCTCTTTCTTTGAACAACTTGAAACTATTGATGGGCCATTAATATCAAATTCCTTGCCAGAATTACATTTCCAAAGAAAGGCAGGTTTTCTTTTCCTGAAGTGTTATCTTTTTAATCTGGACACCTAACTACTCAACACCTAAGACAACCTTTCTTCTTGCTGTTGCAAACATACACTAACAGTTTAGTTTTCCACACCTGGCAGAAATTTATTGAAAAACAACAACAACAACAACAAAGCTGTTTGGATTTTTTCTTCAAACTATGCCTCCTTGATGCTAAAGCTGCCTCTTCTCTGGTTTAAGTCAGAAAAGCCTAGAAAAAATTCTAACTCACACCTATTTGCTACCATGTCCATACAAATACATACCACTGGAAAGTTAGCCAATAGCAGATGTATTTCCTCTGTCCTTTCTCAGCCTGTGAGTTCCAGGACATGCTGAAGGGGTAAGGGAAAAATGACTGTGGTTGTTTCAGAACCTGGCTATAAAATTCTCAAGCAAGCTGAAAGCTTCCTCCTCCTGGGGGGAATTCTTGTATCATCAGGCAGAATCAGACTGAGGAACAGAATCAATTAATTATTACTGAAATACTATGGAGTATTGTTATTAGAAGGCTCGACTTCATAATTTAATTGTAAGGAAATTACTGCATCTGTGTTCACCATTACTATAAACCAAATGAAAAGATCAGTGCCTTCCCAGCAAATGCAAAATACATCTTTTCATACTAGGCATCCCACTGTGACATTACAAATCAAACTCAACAATTAATGTCCAGTCCTTTGTGGCAGGTGGGGAAATATTCTAAGCAATTTTATGTGGGAAGCAGTTGTAGGAGTGAAGAACGTCAAATAATAAATAATACAATTATATTTGAGGACAGATTTTACAGTTTTTCCTATGAATGACTTAACTGTTGGTGACACACACAAAGCTGCACAGCTACACCATCATCCTGCCTATTCCTCAGACTCTAGCATCACCTTACATCCCAAAGATATTCCAAATCCCAAGATTCATATTCATAATTTGCGGATACTTTCAATGCAACATTTCCAAGATGGTATTTTTCTTAATCCTCCCAATCAGCTAAAGTATTCAATTGGTTAATCATCATCATCATGTTTTGATTCAGCAAGATTTTGCTCTCTGTTTTTTGATTCAGCAACATTTTTTCTCTTTGCTTTTGACAAACACAGGCTCATATCACACACATTCACTCAGAGAACTGCTGCAAAAACCCTTTTCCTGTCAATCACTTGGAGAACACATCACTATATCCACAGCTCTCCCTGGATATTTCTGCAGCATCCACCACTTGTCTTCACTTTCAAGGTCCATCCTTGCATCCTTGTGGTGATCACCACCACACCTATTACTCCTTAATCTTTTTCAGGAAGACAGCTGTGGTTTACTCATGTTTGCAACCAAGCCAATTTTCATAAAACATAAAGCTCAAAAGACCATTAGATCATGCTGTCTAATTTGGTTGTTATGGTTTTTTTTTGGCTAAAACACTCTAAAAACCCTCCACTTTTTACTGATACAAAAATAAATTTCAGGGATGCTTCTTGTATCTCTTCCCTTCCTATCTCCCACCTGCCATTCAGTGTCAGGAGTCCAGCTTCCAGCTTCTCTCACACCCACATGGTGTATTTTCAAACAAACTTCTTGTGCCTTTTTCTGTCTTACACCTTACACTTTATGGAAACTCCCTTAAATATCTGAAAACCTACTGCATTACTGTTGTTCAAAGCTTTCTCTGAAATTCAGCTTACTAACCTGCCCCTACAGCCCCTATGAGCAAAATGTGTGATAAGTAGTTATATACACATCACCTGTTTTCAAATGCCAAAAGTAAGCAAGAGTGGTATGTAGGAGACAGATCCTACCCCACAGTAAATAGAGAGAGGCTCCTTGAGAGAGATTTGGTTGAAGGAACTCCTGAAATGCTACAAAACGTCCTGTGAAGGAGTCTCTGCATACACTGTGGAAATGGCCTAAGGAAATCAGTCTTTTGATTTAGTTACAGGAGTTGGATCCCTAAAGTTTGAATGTTCCCTGACTACTAGCATTTCTATTTTCCTCTGTGTATTTGCTACTTTCAGCTGTATTATATTTACACTGCTAGAATTTAAAATTGCAGATATCCTTTCCAGCACACATCTGCGTGATGCAAAGCATCACAGGAACTAACTATTTTACAATCATACAAAAACAGTCTTACAACACTATACAGTATTTCATTAGACACATCCTGATCGTGTAATTATCATAGCATTACACACATATGCCTGGTGAATGGTGCACGGCTCTGTGCACTAACTTCAACCCTGATATTTACTAAATTCCTCAATCCTATAATAAAGACCTGGAATGCATTCATATCTGGCACTGGCTTTTTTCTCCCCACTGTGAATCATGGGCAAATCCTCCAGACAAATCAACATAGCTAAAAAAGCAGAGAAGGGAAAAGAAGAATATTAGGAAGAATTAGGATATCAAGAAGAATTTATTCATATAAAGGGTGATTCGACATTGGAATGGGCTGCATAAACAATTATAAAGAGTCATACCAGGCACCATGTAAAGAAGAAAATAGAATAGAAAACTGCTACTGGTGATAATCTAGTTCTTGCTCCAGATAACAGAAAACAAGTTCTTTCAAAGCCCAAAGAGAAAAATGCCTCCTGAAGCAATCAAACAAAAAATGAGGACACAGTCAGTCATAGATGAAAATCTGATCAAAATCTAACCAGGGAAAATATTGAATTAAATGATTTGATTTCATGATAATAAATGTCCTTAATAGCAAAGAGTTAACCGCAAAATGCTGAAAGGGACGTATTTGGTCCTGTATTACAGTACAGTTGTTAATAATTCAGAAACTGGGACAAGTATCATGGCAGAAAATCTGCAGTTATTTCAGTTATTCAGAATGAAGGAAAATTATTAATCTAACCAAAATTAATAAGTGGACCCCAGAAACACTAAATAAGGTTTAAATGATGACAGACAGATAACAGACACATATTAAAACAAACCCATTAAAAAAAACAGTCTATGTTTTATGTGGTTTCAAATTAAAGACACAACTGTAAGGAACTTAGTGTAATAAAACTCAATGTGTTAGGCAAAGGGAGGGTAACAGTTACCTACAAAATCTCCAGATAAATTGATGTTAGTCACTAACATTTAGCGTCTC